ACGCATATTCAATGATAATTTTCCTTTCTCATATTTAACAACATAATTTATCCTAAACAATTGTTTTCAATTGGAACTTTTTTTAAAATGAGGGTTCTTTTATAATTTAATTTTTTATTTTATTTTAACTAAAAGGATAACATTTATTTAGGTATTTCCGACAAATTTGCATATCGGTTATATTTTGTTAAATTTTTTAAAATTGGATAAAATTTTGTCTTATTTATCACAAATTATATAATTTTTCATGAAAGTTTTTTCTAGGATATTTTAAATAAGATACTCAAAAGTAAAAAACCTTAATAAATTCCTATAATAAATTTGAAGTTAGAAATATGACCAAAAAGTTAAGGTACTAATAAGGAAATGAATTTCCATCAACTATTTTGCCCATTTTTAAAGGGAAATTCTAAGAGGAAAGAATATTGAGTGTATATCCAGTGCATATTTTGAAAATTTTTGTATATTTCAGTCATATTTTGGGCTTTTCAGTGCATATATATATGAATATTTTGAAATTTTCCGTGCATAACCAAATAAGATCAAGGTAAATGTCCGGTTGGTGTCCTACATGTCCGCAAAGAGAATGCGCATTTTTCTTTCCTTTTCTTGCATTTTTTCTGCAAGGAGTGGCGCCCATTTTTCCTTGTGTATGGTAGCCTTTTGGCATGTCGAAGGAAGGAGAGAAAATAATAAAAATTAATTACTAATAGAGTACTTAATTTAATACTAATAAAATTATTATAACTAATAATGTTAGATTGATTTACAAACAGAATTAATTCACTTTAGGTTTAGATCAGTCAGGATATCAACACCAAACAGTAAATCATCAACAATTCTTTATGAATCCAGTCAACGGTGCAAATACACAGGGGAATGAAGCATTCTGGAACAGATTAAGATTTCGAATGGATTAAGATTCCCCCAGATATTTAAGAAATCTATTTGAGAATGTTGTCCCAAATTTTTCATCTCTGATCATTTATAAAATAAAATATTCATTTGTACTCTATAAGTAATTAATTTTTATTATTTTCTATGTAATCTAACAATCTAACATTATTAGTTATAATAATTTTATTAGTATTAAATTAAGTACTCTATTAGTAATTAATTTTTATTATTTTCTCTCCTTCCTTCGACATGCCAAAAGGCTACCATACACAAGGAAAAATGGGCGCCACTCCTTGCAGAAAAAATGCAAGAAAAGGAAAGAAAAATGCGCATTCTCTTTGCGGACATGTAGGACACCAACCGGACATTTACCTAAGATCAAATTTTGAATAATTAAAAAGACAGAAAATTCTTTATGCTAAATGAAAAAAAAATAAATAAATAGGAGTAAAATTTTGAATTTTATCGGTATTCCGTAGTGTTATACGTGCTGTCGAAATGTAGTCTCAAATTAATATATTTATGGTTTTTCCAAACTGATATGGAAATAAAAAGATTTATAACCTTAGTTTCTTAAATGAATGATCTTGAATATATTTCAAAGAGAGAATCTTTTTAAATTTATAAATTTGACCCACCAATAGTGTGAAAGAACTAAAAGACAAAAATTCTTTACGCAAAAGGAATATACCGTATTTCCTCTATAGCCTGTCCATCACATTTAAAATAATTCCCTATAGATGTCAATCGAAAAAATAATACCGTGAAGTTATTCTTGAGGAAGTACGGTAATATAAAACAAAATAAATAGATGAATAGTTTAGTATTTGATAAAAATAAGAAATGTAACAAGCTAAAAAGTAATATGTTCTGAAGACTTAAAATAAAGGTACTTTTCTGTTTTGTGACCACACTTTAAAAATGATTAAAAAGGGTCATGAATATGGACAAATTATATGTCATTAGAAAGAGCTCCTCGAGCTGAGTCGCATGACACCAGAATCATTTGGGATTCGAAATGGTACTGCTCGAAATGGTCAAAAGATACAAGGATCAAAATGGTCAAAAATCATGAATATGACAAAATGTTGTCATTTGAAAGAGCTCTGCGAGCTGAGTCGAATGACACCAAAATCAACGAAATCTGACTTGATTTGACAGTTAAGATCGTTTATTTTAGAATAAACTCCACGGGCGCCATAGTTAAGGAGCTAAAATAAACAATCTTAACTTTGTCAAATCAAGTCAGATTTCGTTGATTTTGGTGTCATTCGACTCAGCTCGAAGAGCTCTTTCGAATGACATATAGTTTGTCCATATTCATGACCATTTTTTAGTGATGTTCGAGAGTCAAAAAATCCCGAGAGTCGAGAGTCGAGACCGAGACCGAGAATCAACCCCGAGACCGAGACCAAAACGAGAGTCGAGAGTCGAGACCGAGAGTCGAGACCGAGAGATTAAGAGGGATATCACTTGATGTCCCTCCTAATCCCCAAAAATCCCTTGATATACCTCAAAATCCCCATACTCGCTTGAATCCACTTGTCCACAATATATATTCAATGATATTCACATTAATCTCTTAAAATCCCCTCATATCCTTCCATATCCCTACAAATCCAACAATATCTTTTTGATCCATCGATGCACCCATCCCTTGATATTAAATTTTATCCTTCAGAATCTAATATACCACAAACCACAAAATCTAATCCTTTAATCTTATTAAATTCAAATTTTTGCTGCATTTTTGGCGCCGCAGGCGAAAATTTTTTGAATTTTGGAGCTCAAGAAGCCAAATTTCCTCCATTTTCAGCGCCGCAGGCGAAAATTTTGAGAATTTTGGAGCTCAAGAAGCCAGATTTCTTCCATTTTTCAGCGCCGCAGGCAAAATTTTGGGAATTTTGGAGACTTTTCCTTAAAAATTTTAATATCAAAGTACGCAAGGTCCGAGTAAAGTTCAAAAAATTTCCGTCATTAGGGGTGTAAATTTAGTCTCGTTTTCCGAGACCAAAACACCGAGACCGAGACCGAGACCGAGAGCTCAAAAAACCCGAGAAATTTCTCGACTCGAGAGTCGAGACCGAGAGTCTCGAACATCACTACCATTTTTAAACATTTTTAAAGTGTGGTCATAAAACTGAAAAGTACCTTTTTCTTTTAAAATATTCTGAAGGAGCACCGAAGAAAATAAAAACTAACGAGTACGGTAATTCAGGTGCTTATCAACCCGAAAATCCTATTTTTATTGAGGGGCAACAAAACCAGGGGTTTATAAAAATTTCATTTTAAATTGAAAAAAATTAAGAAATGCAAGATACACTGAAGGAGGCTCTTCATCCGTCCCAGCGGACGTCTTAGCTCAACCTGAACTGCATCTATGTGAATGGGCTGAATGTAACCTTTCATTTTTTGATGAAAATATGTTTGTTGAGCATGTTGAAGGACATGTAAAAAATTCACAGGTCAATAATTTATACTAATCAAGACATTTTTCTGGGGCATTTTAATATTATAACACTTTTCGCAAACATTTTTTGCTATTAATTTGCCCCTGCTTTGCATAATTCATTAAATGGGATATGGAATAGAACCAATGTGGAAAGTGCTCAAGACCAAAGCATATGTTGGGTTCTTTCTGAGAGTTATGTATGTACGAAGTCTGATCGCAGATACATATATAACACATTAGGTGAGGTTTAAGGGTTTTAAAGGTTTTTTTATCACATATGGTAGCCGAGCGTTTTGCACATGCGCCTCGCGACGCTCCATAAGTTCAAGTTGACCATTTTTAACCTTTTTATCTTGGCTCATAATCAAGATCTCGAGCTGATTTTTGTGTCATTCGACTCCTCTCGAGGAGCTCTTTCGAATGACATATAATTTGTCCATATCCATGACCCTTTTTAAACATTTTTAAAGTGTGGTCACAAAACAGAAAAGTACCAAAATAAAGACAAAGCTAAATTTTACTAAAATGAACTCAGAAGAATTTTAATAAAACCCTTTAAAAAGTTCAACTCTTTTTTAAAAATATCCCAAAGGAAAACCAAATTGTTGACTCACATTTTCGAATCATATACTAAAGTTTCAATTCCAAGTCTAAATCTTCATCTCCACTCTCCGCATTACTGCTGCCAGTACCATCTCCATAGGTTGTGTGTGTTGTTTGACCAATATGTTGTTCTTGGTGTCCTAAATTTGTTGGTAATTGTGTAAAATGTTGTGGTCCTCCTTGGGGTGGGTATGCTGAAAAGTCAAAATGTTGATGTCCTCCGGATTGGTATGCTGGATAACCAAAATTTTGATTCCATCCTTGGGATGCGTATGCTGAATGACCAAAATTTTGTTGTTCTCCTCGGGGTGTGAAAGTTGGATAACCAAAATTTTGTTGCCATCCTTGTGGTAAATATGCTTGATCACCAAAATGTATTGTTCCTTCGGTTGTTTGTTTATCAACCTTAAAATTTGAAAAAATAAAACAAAAGTTGTGTTATGTTTTTATTGTGTTAGAATTTCTCTTTAAATTCATAAAAATATCCTTATCAAAATCTCTTATTAATTCCCCAAACCCTCTCAATATTCAGCAAAATATCATGAATTCAGCTGAGATACATCCTTAATTAATAGTCATTCTTCTAAAAAATAATTTTAAAAATTATATAAACAAACATATGTACATCAACTACTGGATTTCCAGGATGTTGTTTATTATAATGTTTTAATCTGCCATTTCTAGTTTTAAATGTCTTAAGATTTAAAAGTTTATTTTAATCAAGTTCAAGCCCCCGCTATTAAATTCCAGACATTTGTTTTATAGAATCCCAAGAGGAATTAATATGGGCTAATCCAGTCATAAGATCTTGAATAATAACTTATAGAATTAGGAATCCCTGTATGGAAGAAACTGTTCAATACGAATTTACTCGATGACTAAATACCAAAAGAGAATCTTGCAAACTTTTATTAAATCCCCCTCATTCTCTTAACTAAAATAGTTTTGTATCTATATAAAAAGGATATACTTCATTACAATCAGGATGAACCGAAAATATTTTTTGCCCTATAGTATGATCGAGTTAATTAATACTGGGAAAATTTGATCACCACACCCCCTTATTTTCAATAATACAATTATTTACTTTTTTGCAAGGAGGGCGAGCACAGGGAAATATAATTATTTCTCCTGTATGGGAGCGTTTATGTGCTTCAAAATCTTTATTATAAGCATAATTCTTCTCACAACGAACACCATCTTGATTAACATACTGAAAAGGAATATTTTAGAAAATTTAAAAGTTTTTTAAAGCTAGTACATCGCAAACAAAAGGCTTTTCTCCAGTATGCGTTATAAGGTGTATTTTGAGGTTAGATCGAAGAGAAAAACAGTCTGTTCTATTACAATCTGACCATCGACAACGGTAAGGCATCTAAAAATTTTAGAAAGTTAGAAACAGAGAACCTTTGAGAAGCTTACCAGGGTTGCGTCGTAATTACGAATTACGATTACGAAAATATAGGGAAAAATTACGAATTACGAAAATAATTTTGTCATTAAATTTTAGAATAAAAAGGGGAAGAAATATTCAAAATATTTATATTTTCTCTCGCAGTTACTTTAGTTTATTGGTGGTTGAGTGGTTTAAAAGTCAAAATTCACTCATTTGATATTTTGTGAAGTTTGGTTCGAGTCCATGTGTGGGAAATAAAATTTTGACAATTCATTTTTTCAAAAATAAATGTTTTTAAACTTTGATTTTGATTTTAGGCTTGTAAATTTATATTTTTAATATCTTAAAATTGAAAAAACTTTAAAATTTTTGATTTAGCCATGAATTTTCTAAAAATTTTCGCCTGCGGCGCTGAAAATATAAGTTTTGGCTCAGGATTAAGAGTGATTTGACATGATATCAAACCTAATCTGGGACGATGATTCCGAATAATTGATTTATGAGATATCGGAGGATTATTAGGATTAAGAGGGATACAGGGAATTAATTGGGATTTGAGTAATATCAGAGAAATAAGAGGACTTGGAGAGATTAATGGGAGAAGCAGCCATTATTAATAGATATTTGAGTTTTTAAATTAATTTATATTTTAAAAAATTACGAATTACGATTACGAATTACGGCATTTTTTCAGTTACGATTTCGAATTACGATTACGAAAAATTTTTTTAAATTACGACGCAACTCTGAAGCTTACTCCAGCCTAGTGTTAAAGTAAAAATGAAAATAATTTAACACTACTGTCATAGTCAGATGTTTAACATTAGTTAATTTGATACTCTACTTACTTTATTTTATTATTATTTATACATACACTGCTCCACAAAAGTATAGCGCCACCCCTATTTGTCTCGGTTTCAATATTGTAACAGGGGTTTTTATTTTTAGACTTTTTTGTAATAATAAATAGTGGTCTAAAATCAGCTTCATAAAAAATTTTGTTTTCAAATTTATTATTACAAAAAAGTCTAAAAATAAAAACCCCGGTTAAAATATGAAACCGAGACAAATAGGGGTGGCTCTATACTTTTGTGGAGCAGTGTATGTACACCTTATTTTGTGAAATATTTTCATTATTAAATATTTTCATTATTATCAATAATTTACTTTTTCTTTCCTTGCATGTTCATTTACATGTTCATAAAAAGCCTTTTTATTATCAATATCAAATTCTTCATTACATGCATTCCACTCACAAACAAGTTTACTTGATGGAGCGCCTGTATCCACTGGGACAGCCGAGGAGCCTCCTTCCAAATAACTAGCACTCCTTAATATTTTTTAAATGAATAAATTATTTGTAATAACTCTTGTGTTTGGTGTTCATCATAATTAAAAGGGATTTTTTGAAAATAATCACTAGTACCAGCTTTTCCTTTATCTTTAGTTTTTCTTTTACTCGTTCCTCCTCCTCCTCCTTCACAATAACTTTTTAAAAGAATTAGTAAAATAAAAATTGAATTTAATTTTAGAATGAACATTGTAATTTAAATTTTTTTAAATTTTTTTTTAAAATTAAATAACTGACTGTTGGGTAGTTTTCTGTATATTTATAAAAACCACTAATTTCTTCATTAATCATGCACTAAATTGCTATCTCTAAATTGCTCTGTCAATAGCGATTTAAAAACTTTGAAAGAAAATGTAGAGGGCAGTATTATATACAGACACAGCCACATACCTCTCTCTTAATAGTGAGATTTAGATGGAGACATGCGAGAGATTTCACGACTTCTCACTCTTCCATGTGTGAAATACATTTCACGGAAATTTGTTAAACAATTACCGAATGAACCTACCTCTCGATATTTTTAAATAGAGAAAAAGAGGGTATCTTAAGTCTGTCTATATTTCACCCCTCTACAATCTCCTTTAAAAATATATCTTTGCTGATTTTCTTAAAAATTAAAAAATTATATTAATATCCTAATTTTCAAAGGAGATTGAATAGGATGAACTATAGACAGACTTTAGATATTCTCTCTTTCCCTATCTAAAATATCGAGAGTTAAGTTTATTCGGTAAATGTTTAACAAATTTCCGTGAAATGTATTTCCATCCGTGTAAAAATGCGAGATGAGACTTTTGATGTCTAGACATTTGAGGATTAATTAATTATAAAAATACTGATAAAAATGATAAACGGAAGGATTTAATTTTATAATAACAAGCCAGTAATTGTCAATAAAATGATATAAAGTTTAAACGTAATATTCTCAATTTATGGCTTAAAAACTAATTAATTAGCCAGAAAAATATTAACAATTTTTCAAAAATTACTTTAAAATAGCTATTATCAAGCTAATTATTTAAATTAAAAATGATTTTTTACATAAAGTTCAGAAAAAGATTAGGTAAATATCCTCAAATGTCAGTACGCAAATGTCGATAAAAATAAAAATATGTATTTTTATGCTTGTAATGTGTTTTGATTGGGCTCATGCCAGTCTCATTATCCTCTCCTTTATCTCACATTCCTTTTTCTATTTTTATCGAGTTTTTGATTGTAAAATTTTTTAATTTTAAACGATATGGCAGTGATAGAATTTTAAGACGTGGATGCACCTAGCTATCAAAATTTTAAATAGAGAGAGAAAAAGGGGAGAGAATAAAAAAGAGAGCTTGTTATAATCTTGCATAGCATCTCACTATCAAGAGAAAGAGGTATGTGGCTGTGTCTGTATATAATACTGCCCTCTACATTTTCTTTCAAAATTTTTTGAATCGCTATTGACAGAGCAATCTAAAGATAGCAATTTAGTGATGAGCAATTTAGAAATTTTGTAATAGTTTTTATAAATATACATAAAACTACCCAACAGTCAGTTATTTAATTTTAAGAAAAAATTTAAAAAAATTTAAATTACAATGTTCATTCTAAAATTAAATTTAATTTTTATTTTACTGATTCTTTTAAAAAGTTATTGTGAAGGAGGGGGAGGAGGAACGAGTAAAATTAAAACTATATTGAAAGGAAAAGCTGAATCAAGAGATTATAATCAGGAAATCCCTCAAAACCAAGGGTTAATACAAATAATTTATTTTAATTTAAAAAATATTAAGGAGTGCTGGTTATTTTGAAGGGGGCTCTTCATCATTCCCAGCGTTCACTTTAACCATACCTAAATATTTTTGTGAGTGGAACAGATGTGAAGAAGCTTTTGATAATGAAGCTGAATTTGTTCAACATGTTGAAGAACATGCAGATTCGTTACAGGTCAATAATAATTTATTTAATTTCTCAGACTTGGGTGTTTGTATAAACAATAAAAAATATTATAGTTATATGGAATAAAGTCAGTAAATTATATTAATTATATGTACATATATTATATTTATATTAAACTTGTTTTGATAACAGTAGTGTTAAACGCTAGTTGATTTTCAATTATTTTAATTTTTACTTTACGACTAGGCATAAGTAAGCTTCTCAAAAGGTTCTCTGTTTCTAACATTCTAAAATTTCAGATGCCTTGCCATTGTCAATGGTCAAATTGCAAAAATCGTGAAATAACTTTTACTTTTCCTTCAGTCCTCAAACGACACCTTAAAACGCATACTGGAGAAAAGCCTTTTGTTTGCGACGTACTAGCTTTAAAAAACCTTTAATTTTCCTAAAATATTCTTTTTCAGCATGTTAATCAAGATGGTGTTCGTTGCGAGAAGAGTTTTGCTAATAAACAAGGTTTTGAAGAGCATAAACACTACCATAATGGAGAAATAATTTTATTTAATTGTGGTACTTGCAATAAAGTAACTAATTAATTACAGGGTGACAAAAAAGTAATTGGACACTTTATTTTTGCCATAACTTTATTTAAATTAAAGATAATGAGATCAAATAAAGATGAAATTATAGAGAATTAAATGGAGAATAAGATATAAAAATCTTTTAGAATTATTCCTATTCTATTTTGAGATAAGGTTAAAGGAAAGTGAGAAAAATTATTGCTCCAGGTCGCACCTTTTTTTGAGGCATTTTGCCTATAACATTAGAACAGATTGGAGGAATTACACAAAATTTTTTTGGCATGTAGAGCAGTCTTTCATCTATAGAAATTATAAAGCAAAAAATTTTTTAGATTAACGCCTAAAGAGATATTCGATTGCGCGTAACCCTCCCAAAATGAGAGAATCGCATTCCCCCCAAAACTGATTTACATCTACTCAGAGCCATCCATGTAGGAGTTTGGATTTTCATCTTTCAGATTTGTCCGGTTCGCTAATGGTCTTAATTAAATTCTGTTGAGATCATCCCGTTTGGACTTCTCCTTTCTGAGATACAGAAATCAAAATTTTGGGGGGAAAATTTTGATATGGTGTACCTAAAATTACATAACTTTCTTATTCCTTAATCAAAAAATCTTTAATTTTACAATTTGATAGAGAAATAAATGAGCTACAAAATAACCTTGGAATCATCTAAAAATGTTACGAACAAAAAAAGTTATAAAGGATAGAAAAGTGTCCAATTACTTTTTTGTCACCCTGTATATACCTATTTTGTTTTATTGAAAATATGCGGGTGTGGTTATCGAGCTGCCTAAAAACTCCTCCTCATAATCTTAGTTTTGGAGTTTTTCTATGTTGAACATGATTTTGATAAGTTATAGGTATATCTAAAAACATTAGGGTACTTTATGGATATATCACCCCCCCCCCCTATTTTGAGTCTCAGAGTTGTAATAATGGTCAGCCTTTTTCCTTCCATAATTTCTATCCTTTTCCCTATAGCATATGTATTTAAATAGAGGCATTATTTAATAATCTTTTCTTTACTAATGCATTCATTTTATATGCCACAGGGAAGTAGAGTGGAAATGTGGAAGGAAGAAAGGCTGACCATTATTGCAACTCTGAGACTCCAAATGGGAGGGGGGTGATATATCCATAAAGTACCAACATTAGATATCCATGGA